CAAAGATCCCTTTCGAATCAGGAAGCCCTCTAGTTGCTGTACACAGCCACTGTGGGCAGACTTAGAGCTGGAATGTAAACTGTTTTCCATTACAGCACTAAGGGCAATAGGGACACTGCACCCAATGAGCTGAAGTGGTCTGGGAGCCTACAGTGTCCCTTTAAAGGTGTCCTGAAATGTACTCCCCTTCTGCATAGCTGGATTGATTGTAAGGGGACCAAAGGCTGCTGCCTATAGTCCTCTGTCAACTTTGTCTCTGTCTGTGCGCACTTTATCACAACATGGTTGCTCATTCCTAAATTTCTTTAAGTCCAGCAAATTAGTATAGTTAAAAAACATATACCACCGGGGGCGCCACAATCACACACGTGCAATTATATTTACCAAATGGTAGACACAAGGTATCATGTAAAGAGATAAAAATGGTACAGTATATAGTGAAGTATTTAATGATACAAATACAAATAATAAAAAAGATAAAAAATACACTCACAAAAGTATTGGCACTATAGGGACATATGTCTAAATTGTGCTATAAAAGCTTGTCAGCCCCTTCCTGGGCTAAATACCCTTCATACAGTGGATCCAATTTCTCCAGACTCAATAGTGGTCAGTCCTTGTTCAGCTGGAGTCCAAATCTGTCCAATACACATCTGTAGGGGTGTTAATATATTTCAAGCTGCTCGACGCGTTTCGTCTCACCGACTTTTTCAAGAGCTGTACATAACTTCGTTCTTCCGGCTTTTTAAATTCTGTGTTTCGCGCGTTCTTTTCATTACGCGCATGCGCATCGCGGCTGGTTTGTCCATACACATAGCCGCGCATGCGCATGTGATCCACCTTGAAACGCAAACAACTTTATTAGCAATTTTTGCCGGAACGCACTTCCGTATTAGACCACCGGGTCCTACGGAATAGTGTAAAGGCACTCAAGCACTATTACATATAAGTAATTATTTCATTTCACATTTATATTCATCATTATATGTGGCAAAAAAACAACTATTTAAAAAATTCATCATTATATGTGGCAAAAAAACAACTATTTAAAAATTCTCAAGTATGTATCTAATCTATTATGTTATACATCGAAGGTGCAGATAACATTTGAAAGTACAAAACTCATAGTATATAGCTAGAAACAGTTAAGGTATATAACCCATCCATTGCATTGTACATCACTAGTGCAAATGACATTAGAAAATATGGACATTTAAAAGTATGGAAATATAGATCTCTGAAACAAAAGATAATGGTGTATATTAATAAACTCATATACAAAAAATACAATTCCAATTTTAACCATATATGGTCATCATTTTCAAGTTTTAAAGAGGTATGGCAAAGGCACCATCAGATTTTAAAATATCAAAAAAGAGGAATAGATTCTACCTATCTAGAACTTGGCCATTAAAAATTAAAAATTAAAAATTAAAAATAAAGGTTAAAAACAAAGGTTAAAAACGAAGTACATAAATTCAACCCTATATCAATCCATAAAAACTAATACATCTAGATCTACATTTAACCCTTTTGGAGATGTTGTTTTAAGTCTGTAGATCCACTCAGTTTCTTTCATAGCCAGCGCTTTTTCTATATCTCCCCCTCTCCAATGTGGGGTTATATTGTCTATCCCTATACATCTAAAATCTTGGAAACTAAAATCAGTACAATTTATACAGTGTCTAGGGACACTGTGCTTTGTATTTCCTCTTTTTATCCCATTAAAATGTTCCAAAATCCTGATGTGTAATTTTCTTATTGTGCGACCTACGTATTGTATACCGCATTTACACTCCAGTAAGTAGATTACATTTTTTGTTTGACAATTTATAAAGTGCTTTATTTTAAAAAATTCTTTTGTGGCAGTGCATATGAATTCTGTTGTTTTTTGTTTTTGAAACTTACATATACTACACTGTCCACATTTAAAAAAAACTTTTGGTATCTCTCCGTGGTAAAGCGCTGGGAGCTAAAATTGATTTAAAATTCTGAGTTTTTTTATAGATGATCTGGGGTTTACTTGGTAAAATATTAGTTAAAAATTGATCCTGTTTTAAAATAGGCCAGAATTTTTTAATAATTTTCTCAATAGTATATGCCTTACTATTGTATCTAGTTAAAAACGAAATGTTATAATCTTTATTATCTTTCTTATATACCTTTTTATTTTTTAAAAGTTCTACTCTGTCTTTATTTTCTACTTGTTTTTCTGAATCTATCAACAATTTTTGAGGATAATGTCTTTTCTCGAATTTCTTATTTAGTACTTTGACTTGTTCTTTAAAGTCCTTTTTATTAGTGCAGTTTCTGAGGAGTCTTGTTTGTTGTCCTTTTGGTATATTATTAAGCCAATTAGGATGGTGGCAGCTAGAGTACTCTATAAAGCTGTTCCCATCTGTTGGTTTAAAATATGTTTTATTGCAAACGACTCCAGAAGAAACAAAAAAAGAAATATCTAAAAAGTTGATATTTTCAGGGTGGGTTTCCGCCGTAAACCTCAACCCATGTGTGTTGACATTAATATATGATAGGAATTTCTAAGAGAATAGACAATGAGAGAGTCAAAAGCCTATTGTTGCCATAACCCCAACAAAACAGCACACGCCGAATAAGTGGAGACTTAGTATTATTATTATTACTGGTATTTATATAGTGCCAGCATATTCCGTAGCACCTTACAATATTATCAAAGGGGGAAATTTAACAATAAATGAGACAATTACAAAAACTTACAGGAATAGGTTGAAGAGGACCCTGCTCAAACAAGCTTACAGACAGTCTATAGGAGGTAGGGAGTAAAACCCAATAGGACCGGAATTAGCAATCAAATAAGGTGGGAGTGAAGCAGAGCTGGAGGAGAGAGTGCTGCCCTTTAGGAGAGTGCAAGAGACAGGTATGTGAGGTAGAGGTTACTTTAGGAGGCCATAAGCTTTCCTAAAGAGATGGGTTTTGAGGCACTTTTTAAATGATTGAATACTAGGGGAGCGCTTGATGGTTGTAGGCAGGCAATTCCAAAGGAAAGGAGCCCCCCGCGAGAAGTCCTGCAAGTGTGTTAATGTTGGTGTTAAAATATAGTAAACTGGTGAGATTCATACTGGGCCCCATGCTGATATATTTTTTTTCAGTAACAATATTCTAAGTATATTGAGAGTGTCTATTGTGCAATGCCTAGGGATCAATGAGAAAGACATCTGAACTGAACACCACTGGAATTTTATTGCACTCCGAGACATTCTGAGATAGAATCTACATTTACACATCCTTGTTAACTGGGTCTTTGGTATCCTACACAGTCAGGATGATGTACGAGTGCACATGAAAACCTTTGATCTGCAGATAGATTTTCCTTTGGCCTAAGCACACACAGATCCAGACTATAGAGAGGGTCCTGTAATATATGCAATGTGACAGCTGAGGAAAGCCAGCAGTAAGGAGAAGACACTCAGATCAAAACAACTAGAATCTCCAACCTGTAAACAGAATCTGCACAGCACTGTCATTGTGTAAACCTTGGTCCTTTCAGTCATCACTACGACCAGCGTGCGTGATTTAACCCCCATCTTAGTGGAGTCAGAAAGGTAAACTGTTTGTGCTCAGGATTCCTTAGTATTACCGTTAGAGATGTTAACCTCTTAATTTGAGCTCTCTGTTCAATTATAAATCACCTTTTTTATATTAAGTGCAACCAAACTTATTACATAACATTTTGTTCAGGAGAAATAGGGCTTTCATTTCACATTATATCTATATATGAAACATAATGTAATATTATCAAAATGTAAAACAAAGTGTGAGAAATTAAGAAATGGTTTTCAAGTTCTGCATTGCATTTTAACTGTGAATGTCATAATACTGTTAGCTTTTACTGCAATAAAATGCACATATTGTGTCCAGTGATGGCTCAAGTCCAACAGTAACCCCCATGTACAGGTTTTATGGAGCTTTGGATAGTTACAGGGTCAAATATAGGGCTTCCAAATTAAATTCCATGGACTTTCTGCCGTAGAAAATCATGTAATTATGTAAAAATAATACATAAATATAAACATAGAATTATATTTATAAATTCATATATACAGTATCTCACAAAAGTGAGTACACCCCTAACATGTTGTGTAAATATTTTATTATATCTTTTCATTTGACAACACTGAAGAAATGACACTCTGCTACAATGTAACGTAGTAAGTGTACAGCCTGTAAACCAATGTGCATTTGCTGTCCCCTCAAAATAACTCAACACACAGCCATTAATGTCTAAACCATTGGAAGCAAAAGTGAGTACACCCCTAAGTGGAAATGTCCAAATTGGGCTCAAAGTGTCAGTATTTTGTGTGGCCATTATTTTCCAGCACTGCCTTAACCCTCATGGGCATGGAGTTCACCAGAGCTTCACAGGTTGTCACCGCAGTCCTCTTCCACTCCTCCATGACAACATAAGTGAGCTGGTGGATGTTAGAGACCTTGTGCTCCCCCACCTTCCATTTGAGGATGCCCCTCAGATGCTCAATAGGGTTTAGGTCTGGAAACATGCTTGGCCAGTCCATCACCTTTACCTTCAGCTTCTTTAGCAAGGCAGTGGTCATCTTGGAGGTGTGTTTGGGGTCGTTATCATGTTCGAACACTGCCCTGCGGCCCAGTCTCTGAAGGGAGGGGATCATGCTCTGCTTCAGTATGTCACAGTACATGTTGGCATTCACGGTTTTCGCAATGAACTGTAGCTCCCCAGTACCGGCTGCACTCATGCAGGCCCACACCATGACACTCCCACCACCATGCTTGACTGTAGGCAAGACACACCTGTCTTTGTACTCCTCATCTGGTTGCTGCCACACACGCTTGACACCATCGGAACCAAATAAGTTATTCTTGGTCTCATCGGACCAAAGAACATGGTTCCAGTAATCCATGTCCTTAGTCTGTTTGTCTTCAGCAAACTATTTGTGGGCTTTCTTGTGCATCATCTTTAGAAGAGGCTTCCATCTGGGACGACAGCCATGCAGACAAATTTGATGCCGTGTGCGGCGTATGGTCTCTGCATTGACAGGCTGACCCCCCACCCCTTCAACCTCTGCAGCAATGCTGGCAGCACTTATACATCTATTTCCCAAAGACAACCTCTGTATATGACACTGAGCACGTGCACTCAACTTCTTTGGTCGACTATGGAGATGCCTGTTCTGAGTGCAATCAGTCCTATGAAACTGCTGTATGGTCTTGCCCACCGTGCCACAGCTCAGTTTCAGTGTCATGACAACCTTCTTATAGCCTTGGCCATCTTTATGTACAACAACAATTCTTTTTTTCAGATCCTCAAAGAGTTCTTTGCCATGAGGTGCCATATTGAACATCCAGTGACCAGTATGAGAGAGTGATAACACCAAATTTAACACACATTCACACCTGAGATCTTGTAACACTAACGAGTCACATGACACCTCGGAGGGAAAATGGCTAATTGGGCCCAATTTGGAGATTTCCATTTAGGGGTGTACTCACGTTTGTTGCCAACGGTTTAGACATTAATGGCTGTGTGTTGAGTTATTTTGAGGGGACAGCAAATTTACACTGTTATACAAGCTGTACACTTACTACTTTACATTGTAACAGAGTGTCATTTCTTCAGTGTTTCCACATGAAAAGATATAATAAAATATTTACAAAAATGTGAGAGGTGTATTCACTTTTGTGAGATCCTGTATATGGTGGGGAAAAAAGGTGATTAAAAAACCCTTACACCTGAAGTCAATGGATAGTAAAGACATTGCTGAACACAGATCTGCACACACCAGTCAAGCCATAAGACTTACTTTTCCCAGAGAAATCTCATATTTGCAGTGCTGTTACGACTGCAAAGGATTCTGGGTGTGCATATTCAACAAAGAACCATCTTTTTGTCTAATTTATTCCACTTTATACATGGATTTCTTAGAGGTTGATGTCTGCTACATACAACAGCATTGAAACAAAACCTCAGGAAGAGGTGCACCATAACTCTTTTGGTTTGTGCTCCACACGTCACACCAAGCCTCAATAGCAAGCCAGTAACCAACCTCATGCTGATGAGTTGCATTAACCATTAAATGTCCGTCCGTGAATGGTTACCTGGCTTTGCACCTCTTCCTGAGTTGTGTATCAAAGCTGTGGTATATACGTCAGATATATATTCTAAGGAATTCTTGCATAAAGTGGAATGAATTAGGCAATACAAGTGGTTCTTTGTTGAATGCGTGTGGATATCCTCACCCAGAGTCCCTTGTAACAGCAAATGTGAGATTTCTATGGGAAAAGCAAATCTTATGGCTTGACTGATGTGTGCCGATCTGTGTTTAACAATGTATTTACTAATCATTGACTTCAGGTATAAAGGGTTTCCAATCACCTTTTTCCCCACCATAACTCCGTTAATTTCTGCTTTATATACATATATTAAAATATATATTTTATTTATTTTGTTTTACATAATTATGTGCTTTTATTAAATATATGTTGTGGGATTTGCCTGACAACACAATCTTGCCATTCTATGAGATTGTTGTGTCATCGCAATCACGTGACGCAGATCCGGCGAGGAGCATAAGTTTAAAGGCTGCAAGGAAGGCCCAGTCACTAGGACATGCAATGCCACCCTAACCGCATTAAAGCCCTCCTTTTGTAGGACAGCATAGCACAGCCTAATGTCAAGAAGAGATTAAACTGTATGGGACACAGCAGCAGTAGCTGGTGGTGAAGTTTTAAGATGGTGGGGTGCCAGACACCTCCCCTAGAATTTTACTCCCAAAGTTTTACTCCCAGGGATACTCATACAATAGAGAGAGCTGAGCATACTACAGAGATGCTCATGCAATAAAACAAGCTGGGTATGATATAAAGGCATCAATAAAATACAGTATAGAGCATAGAGAGGGTCCTTTAATATGTGCATTATGACAGTTGAGGAAAGTCAGCAGAGGAGAGATACTCAGATCAAAACAACTAGAAACTCCATCCTGTAAACGGAATATAAAGGGGTGCAGCTTTCTACATTTAATGTATTTATTTTCACACCTCACGAATACATATTTGTTACATGTAAAGCAAGCATGTCAAACTCGCGGCCCACAATGGACATCTTTGCGGCCCGACGAGCCCCGAGTACATGCTTAGTGTTAAAGCAGAGTAGGCACCTGCTTTCTCCACATTGCAGGTGCCTACTCTGTTAAACTTTACCTGGCCAGAGAGGAAGCAGGACGCTGGCAGCAGCGAGGGAGCTCAGTATTCCTGCTCCTCATTGCTCCCTCGCGCGCGCTGTCTGTAGTGATGCCGGGTGCCGGAATATGACGTCATATTCCGGCATCACTAAACTGCGCATGAGGGAGCAGTGAGGACCCCAGGGAATGATGTGAGTGTGAGCAAGAATGTGTTAATATGTGTGTCTGTCTGTTTGTATCTGTCAGTGAATGAGAGTGTCTGTCTGTGAGTGAGTGAGTGTGTGTGTGTCAGTGATTGTGTGTGTGTGTGGGTCTGTGTGTCTGTCAGTGTGTGTGTATCAGTCAGTGTTGCCATGGCCTTGGCTAGAAAGTGGAGGACCTGCAGGTGCACAGAGGCACGCAACGCCACGTCACATTCAGTGGTGTATCCTGGTTTTGTGCTGCCCTATGCATGGCAAAACTCAGGCGCCCCACCCCCACGCCATATCATTCACAAAAGTAGACTGCCAATTGTATTCAGAATTGGGTATGTCCAATCTTTTTAGTAGCCACTAAGTCACCAACACTGGCCAAAGTTAGTGTTCATAATTAAAATTTTTTTGCTTTTTCATAAAATAAACAGCACTTTCACTGATGATATCATTGTCAATATAGGTTTTACTGCTCCAACACTTATATTTATGTTCAGGGAGTCCTCACAGGTAAAACAGTACCCTCCGTGTACAGGTTCTATGGGGTTTTAGAAAGTTACAGGGACAAATATAGGGCTTTCCAATTTCAGTTTGCCAGATTGGTTTGCCGAGCCTATGTTGCCTTTGAGACCATATAGTAGCTGAGGAATGAGAATTACCCCCATCATGGCATACCATTCACCAAAGTAGACAACCCAGGGTATTCAGAATTGGGTGAGTCCAGTTTTTTGTAGTAGCCACTTAGTCACAAACGCTAGCCAAAGATAGTTTTCATATTATTTTTTTGAATTTTTCACACAAAAACTGCACTTTCACTGATGATATCATCATAATAACAAATTGTTGTGTTTTAAAACACTCATATTTGTGTTTAGCAATGTCTTACGAGTACAACAGTACCCCACATGTACAGGTTTTATGGTGTTATGGAAAGTTACAGGGTTAAATATAGGGCTTGTAAATTAAATTCAATGCTTAGGTTGTAAGGCAGGCCCCTTGAATAATTAATTAATTAAATTAATGAGTTGTGTAAATATAGTAGATAAATATACACATTGGATATATATATATGTGTGTGTGTGTAGATATATACACACACACACACACACACACGTACATACATATACATGTACGTACATGCATACGCACATATATTATATATTTTATTATTTTTATATATATATATATATATATTTATAATTCTAAGCGTATTTTGAGATATATATATATTATATTAAAATAACAAAAAATACCAGCACTCCAAGGGTTTTCAAAATATAATCTTCTTTATTCTGAGAAATACATCATCATCAACGTTTCAGCTCCCCTAAGGAGCTTTCATCAGGACACTCATAACAAACACAAGAAAAAAAGCTTATATAGGACACACAATTATTAAAATAAGTACTTACAGACAGGTGATCCTAATTCCCCGCAGTCGCCAGGATTACTCCGATTGAGTAATCCTGGCTACTGCGGGGAATTAGGATCACCTGTCTGTAAGTACTTATTTTAATAATTGTGTGTCCTATATAAGCTTTTTTTCTTGTGTTTGTTATGAGTGTCCTGATGAAAGCTCCTTAGGGGAGCTGAAACGTTGATGATGATGTATTTCTCAGAATAAAGAAGATTATATTTTGAAAACCCTTGGAGTGCCGGTATTTTTTGTTATTTTATACTATGGAGCTACCAGAGCACCGGGTCATTTTTTGATTATTGTTAGGTTGGAGTGCAGGAGCTTTCTACATTTATATATTATATTAAGATACGCCTTAGACATTAAATTTTTTTTTTTTATTTGATGTACATTTTTAATATATGTATAATATATTATGTTAATATAAACACCTGATTAGCATATTATACATATAAAAGACATGTATAATTTAATTCTAAGTGTATTTTGGTGTTAATTATAGATTAATACCAAAATACAGTAATAATTAAATTATACATGTATTATATATGTATAATATGCTAATCAGGTGTTTTAATTAACTTATAGCTCCTGACTGATTCCTCTTCTGCAACTGTCACTAGTCTAATACTATCCTTACCTTTTTGTATCATTTTACCCCACTCCCTCTAGCATATAAGCTCATTGAGCAGGGCCCTCAACCCCTCTGTTCCTGTGTGTCCAACTTGTCTGGTTACAACTACATGTCTGTTCGTCCACCCATTGTAAAGTGCTGCGGAATTTGATGGCGCTATATAAATACCATAATAATAATTATAATAATATATAATACATGTATAATATATAATTTCAATGTGTGTGTATAACTTTTTTTTCATTTCAGACACCAGGGGGACTGACTGAGCACTCAGGCAGTCCCCCTGCAGGCAGTCTCATAGACTGGTTTGCGGCCACGTCCGTCGCGATCACCTGGCCCTGGAGGGTCGAAATGGAAGCAGTGGGACTGCCTGTCTCGAGAGGCAGTCCCCCTGGACCGGGGATCGCCGGGGATCACCGCAGATCTCAGGTCTAGGTAAGCATGCAGGGACAGGGGAGATAACCATCGTTAGGGCGTACTATGCCGCCCTAATGGCATTTAGGCTCATTAAATGCGGGGCGGCATGGTGTGCCCTAATAGCGTTAACGGGTTAAACATTGCAGTTCCAGAGAAACATTGCAGCACTAAGTCAGCCTCTAGTGGCTGTCTACCAGACAGCCACTAGAAGGCTTCCTGGTTTGAAACACTTGGTAGGGATTATAGGCAGCCTGGTATTACATGTTTGAAAGACCTCTATATCAGTGGAATCAATTATTAACACTGTAAAAGTTCCAAAAAAGCTCTAGTCATGAGAAATGTGTTTAATACTTTAATCTTCTTGAAGACAGTGTATATGATACCATGCCTGCCTTCGTTACAAAGACCACAAATCAGTTACATTTCAAACAGCAGTTGGTATGTCTTGCTAGATGAAACCCTGGCTGGCTCACCAATCGGCAGCTTACGACCTGCTCATTCTTCCTGAAAGAAAGTGCAGGCT